AAGAAATGCATTGATTTCGCAAAAAAAAAAAAAAAAAAAAAAAAAAAAAAAAGATAAAGATAATTATTTAAAGCTAAATTATCTTACAAGATCAAGAGGTATATTGGATGGGTGACAAAAGCTAGCATTTAAAAAAAAAAATAAAAACAAATAAAAATAACAAAAGAAAAAGAGGAAGAAAAACAAAGAATAGGGCCTACTGGACGTAAAACAAAATCTTATGTAAGGAACATTAGTAGCCTATATGTTAACTCTGCCACAAGAAACACGTTTCCGAATAAAACACAGGGTAGTCCAAATTATTGAAAGTAGGCCTACATTTATTTAAAATTTTAAGATATTTAAAAAATATACTCAAAAATATATTCGTGTTTTTTTGAGCCCGGTCTCATGAAAATGCGTATAAATAGTACGCCAAATAAAAACGAAAACTCCTGGTATTGATACGCAAAAATGGACTTTGGCGTGCATATGATACGCATGTGTTTGGCGTGCATATAATACGCAGTTTTCGCGTGCATATGATACGAAATTTGTTGGCGTGCATATGATACACATCTACCCCACAGCCCTAAACCTACCCATGGCGTAGCATATACACGCCGAAGTCCATTTTTGCGTATCAATACCACGAGTATTCGTTTTTATTTGGCGTACTAGTTATACGCACTTTCATGAGATCGGATTGTTGTTTTTTAAGCTTAAAGATAGATAGTCTACGCTCTAAACACGCTGGGTCGAGTCTGTTAGGTTATTTTCACAGGACAGCACACAAGGTAAAGCTGTATATTTTTTTCGACGTCACTTTACCAGCGTGAATATAGACATCGGTTTTCATATAAGCCTATTAGCCTATTTTTTCCCCAGTCCGTTCTATACCAATACCACAGATATTGTATTTCCACAGATTGTATTTGCCAGTGCAGTCTGCTCTTGTGCTTTTCCCCCCTCCTAAAACTTTGGGAGATTTTTGAAAAAAATTTTTTATTTGAATTAAATGTTATAATTATTTTATGGACTTTAAACAAATTTGTCTAATTGACTTATTACCAAATGAAGATTTCCAAGTTAGAAAGTGTAATTTTGGGTAGGCATAATAGTCTGGGGTGTAATTATGGGTAGCCATAATTAAATCCACTATTAGTTTATTTACACATTTTCTATAAGTCATTGCTGGGTTAGTTTAATCCAACATTTGTTCTATATAGAATTTACCCAGTTGCGGATTACTAATTTTTTGCGGGTTATTATTTTTTTTTAAACAGCGATTTACATCATAAAAGTCATAAAAGAATACATTGACATCCATCACTATATATATATATTAGGGCTGGGTTTTGACACAAATTTCACGATTCGATTCTCATTCATAAACTTGGATTCGATTCGATTCAATATCGATTATTTTGGATATATATCATGCCAAATTTTCTCAAGGAAAAAAATCTCTCAACTAATGCTATAAAATATACTGTACATGAGAGTCAGTTGGTACTACATTACTATAACATTGATTTGTTAAAATTACACTTAATTAAGTTTTTAAAATAATAAAGTTACAATTACATAATATTTCTACTTAAATTTGTTTTTTTTAAATAAAAACAATGGTGGCATAAAGACTTGATGAATTTATTCAAACAAATTAAACATTGAAGAACAGTCAAATTTATAATGAATATGTTATATGATGCATATATTTAGCAAAATGCCCCTCTCCACAGTTTATTTTTCTTGCTTACTAATGAGTTTATGGTCACCTAATATGTTTTTCTGAGGTAAATGTGAGGTTAGGTGACATTGTTTACATTTGTGCCGTGATATTGACGTCTTTGCGCGGCTGAAACACTGATTGAGCGATTAGGCTACATGAGACAGAATACGGATTGTAAAGCTGTACTCTTTCTTTTAACTTACCTTCGGATGTTTAGTCATGTTTATTTTGTGCTGAATCTGGTATTAATGTGGAGGAGATGATCAGTTCAGGTGTGCGCCTTGCAGCTGCCGCATCTGCTGATCTGAGGTGCTACAGCGATCTGTCACTCCACATTAAACAGCGCCAAAATGGCATTTATTGTTTGAATATTGCAATACAATGGACAAAATTTGAAATCTGAGACTTTGTTTCATATTAAAAGTACCAAAGCATACGACATATTTGGATGGGAGGTGTGCTTCAATGTTCCATCCATTAACTGAAAACAGGCTAGATTAATCGATTATTGGGATTTAAGAATCGATGTCGTTCCGTAAAAATGAGAATTGATTAATATCGAGATATCGATATTTTTTACCCAGCCCTAATATATATATATACAGTCGTGGTCAGAATGATTGGCACCCTTGGTAAATATAATCAAAGGCGGCTGTGAAAATAAATCTGCATTGTTAATCATTTTGATCTTTTAATTTAAAAAATCAAGAATCCTTTCATTGGAGAATAAGAATTTAAAATAGGGGGGAACATCATTATGACATAAATGTTTTTCTCTAATACACATTGGACACAATTAACGGCACCCTTTTATTCAATGCTTTTTGAAACCTCCATTTGGCATAATAAGAGCTCCGAGTTTTCTCCCTGATGAGGTTAGAGAGTACCTGACAAGAGATCAGAGACAATTCCTTCATCCAGAATCTCTCCAGACCCTTCAGATTCCCAGCTCCATGATGGTGCTTCTCCTCTTCAGTTCACCACACTCATTTTCTATAGGGTTCAGGTCAGGGAACTGGAATGGCCATAGCAGAAGCTTGGTTTTGTGCCTAGTGACCCATTTTTGTGTTGTTTTTAAGGTTTGTTTTTGGATTATTGTCCGGTTGGAAGATCCAAACATGACCCATTATAAGATTTCTAACATGATTGAGTCGGTCACTTTTTGATTTTTTTATCTGTTGGTATTTGATAGAATCAAAGATGCCATGTATCTAAACAAGATGTCCAGGACCTCCAGCAGAAATATAGGCCCACAACATCAAAAATACAGCAGTATATTTCATTGTACACATGGAGTACTTTTTATCCCTGTGTGCACCAAACCCATCTTGAGTGTTTGTTGCTAAAAAGCAAATTT